TGGAGAAAGAGGTGAACAAATCCCCCAATAAAACAATGGGACCAGCAAAAGTGGACGTACCATTGGCAACAAAGTATCTACAGAAACACTCCAAGGAACCTAAACTCCCTGAGAGTACATGTCCTTCATGTCCTTCTGTTTAAGACATTTTGAGCATCCGTTATATTATATTGACCTTTTTAAATACAGATAGATATCTTTTAATTGCAATCATAATGCCAGTTTTATGCGTGGACCACTAAAGCTTTGCTTGGATGATTTATTTACTTGGATTGATTGATTTGCTTGGATTGATTTATTTCAGAGAAACCATTTAAATATGAAGATGATGAGCAACGTGGTAAACCACCAGTACCTGCAAGAACAGAGAAGCCGCTCATGGGTCTCCACTCCAACAAGAACTTTATTAAAGTCAACGCCATTGAGAACATCATGGCACTCCCAAAGAAAGTGCAGCCAGTGTATGCTGACACCAAGAAGGGGGACAAACAGCCGCTGGAGAACTCTGGTCTCATCCCGAAATTCATAAAGAAGAAGGTGAGGAGATTGATGTGAAAGTGAGTTTCATGTTTCAGTTGTACTGTGCACAGTATACACACTGTCGGTGATGGGTAGCAACTGATTACATTCAATATGGATTATATCAGATAGCAAAATGACTTTTAAAATACTCGCAATCAGACTACATGTAACTTTTTATTGATTACATACTGTTCACACAATGGTAGTAAATCATTCATTATGTATTGATGCTCACTAATTCTTCATTACATTTTCCTTTCTATAAAAGCATATCACCTAGGCCTACATACATTCAGAAAGTCTTCTAGTTTTGTGAAAATGCACACACAGACCAGCCACTAGGTGGATATAATTACATGGACAATTGAGAGGCCACAAAGTACTGGATTTCATGACAGGATTTACAGAAATCATTTCACTTTTTAGTGTTTTCTCAACATTGCAACTTTGCATATCTAATTGTACGATGTCTTTGGAAGCCTGTTGTCTTTTAAACACATTTTTTTATTATAAAAATGATTTATTTTCATTATAATGATTTATTAGCTCTTCATTAAACTCACAGACCCCCTTCAGTTCCATCACAAACCCTGCCGTAATATGTGGAGCGCTTCTGGGTTGAACGTCAGAACGAAGGCTCACTATTGGCCTATGCTGGTCATGTGTGTGATGCGTGTGATGTACAACCCAGAAATGCTCCGCTGTTACACTACGTGAACTCACTCAGAGGCCCACAGAGAAGAAAATGAATAGTTGAATAAAGTTTTGTTTTGTTTTTTTATGCACAAGAAGCCACTGTAGTCACTTGGACTATTTTAAACGTTGTTTTTACTAATTTTTGTGGGCCGGCAAGTTTCAATAACATAGAAGTCAATGGAGGAGCTCTCAGATTTAATCAAAAATATCTTAATTTGTGTTCCGAAGATGAACGAAAGTCTTACAGGGTTGGAGTAATTACTGACAGAATTTTCATTTTGGGGTGAACTATCCCTTTAATGCACTTCATGTTGTTGATAACTAAGAATGCATTCTACTTTCTTTCTTTTTGTATTTTTATATCAATATCTCGCTCTCTTTCTCTTTTTTTTCTGATCATAATTCAAAATCAGTAATCTACTACAATTTGTAAGTATTCTACCCAGCACCCCATACTGCAAAATAACATGTTCAACATGTTATTGTTGTTCTCAGGACTATGGCCAAACTCCAGAGTACCTCCTTCAGCGCAGACAGGAAGTCAGGAAAGCACAAGAGGAATATGACAACTATGTCAAGGAGCGTATGAGAGAAGGAGCCATGAAACAGCTCTCTGGTGAAGAACGACACAATATCCTACAGGTAAACAAGTACAAATGTACTCTGAATGAAACAATCTCTAATTGTTTATAGCCTGTGTTCTGATGGAAGTCTTTGTGCTTCTGAACTAGCAGTAAATCTCCTAATGGGATGGAATGGAAATTGTTTTATTTGAAACAGGGACAATGCACAAATAAACATTAATCGTGTTAAACAAGAGAACATTTCTTGGGCCAGGTTATAGCAACAATTGCTAATTTCCACCTCCCTGGGCAGGTATGACAAATTTCAAAATAATGATTTTAAAATAGAAATTTCACAGGATTATTGATAAAATGATGTACGTCTTCCATCTGATAAGCAATTGCTTGTGTTTGTACTGTAGTTGTCCCTCAGTTTGTAAGTTGTGTTTGATTAAAACATCTGATTCAATGTAAACAAAATAAACATGACTTGCATTTTAAGATTTTAAGCTCGAATGTAAATGATTTTATAAGGGAAAATATATTAATTTTTTATGACTGGTCACCATGTCTTTTTAAGATTTTTCATCATGTTTAATCTTCTGCAGATTACTTGCAGTAAAGGGATACTTCAGGATTTAGAATTAAGCTTCGTATTAGTAGAAAACCTTTAGTATTTTCGAATTACCATGCTTTCCACCCTCATATCCCCCTGAGATTTATGTATTTTTTGGTCAGGAAAAAAATCCTCCGTTGACACAAAAATTGTCATTTAACGTCATCTGAGGATTTTTTTGGCCAGAGGCTAAAGACTACAGTCAGTAGTAGGCGCTGTCCTGCATGTTCTCAACCCACCCATCGAGGGTGGGATCTCACTCACAAGCCGCGTTTCCACCACAATTACCAGGAACTATAGGCGCTTTTCCAGTCTAGGAAGCTCCAAATTCAAAAACAACACATTATTTCTAGATAAATGACCCATTTTGAATACACATTCATCTTTCCGGAGGTGAAGGATCCCTTTAAATGGTCCTGAAGTGTAATGAATACTTTAAATTACAAATATTCCATGTTAGTCTCTCGCTTAATGTGAGATTATAGAGACAGCATGTACAGTACACTACCGTTCAAAGGTTTGGGGTCAGTAAGATATTTAAAACGTTTTTGAAAGAAGTCTCTTATCCTCACCAAGGTTGCAATTATTTGATCTAAAATACAGACAAAACATTTTGATTGACTTTATAGTTTAACATATTTTAAAATATTATTTATTTAATTAACTGTCAACATTATTACTCCGGTCTTTATTGACACATGACCCTTCAGAAATCATTCTAATATGCTGATTTGGTGCTCAATTTCTTCTTCTTTTTTCAATGTTGAATGTGCTGCTTAATAATTTTGTGGAAACTGTGATACTTTTTATCAAAATAGAATGTTCAAAAGAACAGCATTTATTTTGAAAACTTATTTTTGGTTACAATTTACTTAAAGCCTTTACAGATAATGCATTATAAGGGTATTCATAATGTACATTATAATGCATTATATATATATTTATTTATTTTTTCATATATTTTCTGAAATAATTTTAACCAAAGTTAAAATACATTACATATTTGCACATTCCTTGTTACATTTTTTTTTTAATGCATTGTACTTTTTAAAGGTGTAACAATGAATAGAAAAGTATAACTCCGGTCACAATTATTCATGTGACCATATGCATTACAAGACATAATTTATGGGTGAAGGGAAAGTTTTACCTTTTTTTTTTTTTTTTGTAACATTCTAAATGTTTTGCTGTCATTTTTGATCAATGTGTTCTTGCTGAATGAAAGTGTCAATTTCTTTAAAACATTTTACTTGATTGCTGTACGGTAGTATTTAATAATTATACAATGGTTTTTATATTACAAGATATGTCTGATGAATTGATGACTTTTGGCAGGCTCTGAAGAAGAACTGGGATGACCTTCATCATCAGTATCAGGGCCTCTCTGTTGTCACAGACACAGCTCCCAAAAAACACAGGAAGGAGCATCTGGAGCAGGAGATGAAGCAGCTGGAGAGAGATATTGACCTGGTGGAACGACACAAAACCATCTACATTGCTAATAACTGAGCGGGATGTTAGCTAGTTTTGAAACATTTGAAACTCTGCTCCTCCTCTTCTGGTCCTTCAATATTAGTTTGAAAGGCTTCTGTAAAGTTTTACAGCAATAGATCTGAGTGCAATAAAGATCATTTTAGATAACCTGAATGGTCTCTGAGCAATTTCATCCCTTTAAAGTTGACGCGAAACGAAAAAGATCTCTGTTTACTTTCTTAAGATACTGTACATCAGGGCCGTGCACATACATTTTAGAGTTGCTAAAGCGAAAAAATGGGCACCCCTCTAATACTTATTTATAAAAAGTAAAGTTACCGAACATATTGTTGATCATCATTTGTTTAATTACACTATTTAACGCTATAGTATTGTATTGTTATACCAATACATGAAATCAGTAGAGGAAAAAATCCATCTTACCATTTGTCAAAATTCATTTACACAGCAATTAAAATTACCTAAATAATTTTACAAAATAAATCCTTAACATATCATTTTGAATATAAATATGAAATGCTGGGGGGAAAGAAAATAGACTATTATGAAACTAAATGTGCCACTAGGTGGCGGAAAGTCGTCAAATCAGAATAACTTCAAGTTCATGAAAGAATCAAGTGAAAAAAAAAAAAAAAAGAATCAAGTGTCCATTGAAATTATGAATGGGCAATTGAATCATTGATTCACCTGATTCGCTCAAAAACGGTGAATCATTGAAGAACAAAACCCCGCTGTGTGTTGCATGCTGGGAAACGCAACAATTCTGCTGTTTGGAACTATTTTTTGTTGGCAAAATAGAGCAAAAAATCAAAATTGACAACGTTGTGTCTAAAAATGTTCAATTCATATAATCGAGCTATATTAATGTTGTATTTACAGGAGGCTATAGGAGTGTTATTTTCTGATATTCGAGAAAATACCACTCCTTCTCGTCTGGTATTTAGATAGTGTTGTTTTGTTACAATGTTATGGTAAGTTATTTTCATTACAAACATTACACTCGCTGACAGTTGTTTGTAAAGATTATCTGTGACCGTCTGAGGAGAAAGTAGGCTCGAAAGAGATTCTTTTGTGCTGATGTAGGCTATAGTTCTCCTGTTAGGTTCAACATGACGAGTTAAACCATCTAATATGACTCATGTGAAATAACACATCTCCATTCATAAAAGCCATTAGAGATATTTTTTTAACTAAACTATGCATGTCTTAAAAAAAGAAAGTATTGCCATATTTGATCATGAAAACATGTAAAACGCATATCCCACTGTGTTTAGTGACGTAAAGTGGGTGTGTGCCCAAACATCTCGTCCTCTCTCAGGAAGCTTCAGTTTAATGCACTTTTGCACACCACGAACATGGCAGATGTCCATAGAAAAGAACCAGGCGTTGTGGTAAATATTCCTGACATGCTGAATTTTATTTATTACAATTGCAACTGAAATGATAAGACAACTTGTTTATTTTGTATCCCTGCAGTATTTATTTTCTTCTTTTTTCATGTTTTCATTTCTATTTACAGTAAACCGTACTATTCTGTTTTATATACTATTAATTGACTATATAGATTAAAGACGGGTGGTCAGGTTACAGTCTGGAGCTGTTTAATTATCCTAAGCATTACCAGGGTGATCTGGAGTGTGTGTACATCCCTCATGGAGTCATTATGAACAGGTAAACACACTGCTGGACTCATATCATAAAATGTGAAAATTGATGTTCACTGTGAATTGAGTGATAAACTACACAACTTCAGATCAGATTGGTCATTTGGTCAAATTTTATAATAAATTTGAGTTCATATTGAGATATCTGACTTGGCAAACAATAGATCTAGGCAAATTTGAGCTCAGTTTGAGACTTTGTGGAGAAAGTTTCTGAAACTATAGTTGTGTAAAACGGAAATCACTATGATCTTTTTCTCAGGAGAAAAATCTGAGGAGCTGAAAACTTAGGCAAAATGTTTGAGAAACAAGTTGGATTTTAACGAGATATTGTAATTTAAAACTACTTCTATCTACTAATTATTTTGGTATTTTGTATTGAAAACCAAAAACACTATTGCTAAATGCTTTTAAATATCTGTGTTTTCCTGATATAAAGTAAGAGAGTAAATTAGTATGAACATGTAAAACACATTTTGTTTAGCCTTGTGCTTTCTGCTTCACAATCACATTCCAAAGTAATTTGGGTTGATCTACAACTTTGGTTCATGTGACCATTAAATTTAATTTATGAAATCACATGGCCTTCACATACACAGTTCCTAACATTGTGATCTAATGTGATTTGTAGGATCGAGTGTCTGGCCAGAGACATCCTTGAAGACATCGGGGATCATGACATGATGGTTCTCTGTGTTCTGAAGGGAGGATACAAGTTCTGTTCTGACCTGGTGGAGTCAATCAAAGCTCAGAGTCGCAGCGCCAACAGAAGACTGACCACCAGAGTAGAGTTCATCCGTTTTAAGAGCTATCTGGTGAGGAGAAGCAGAAATCTTATGCATAATAGCTAAAACTATAACAGAGTGCTCTATCATGTTTCTCAGTGCATACCTTTTATAGCACATCTTACCTGATTTACACTTTTTTTACTGATAAAAACCATAGTTTATACACCCCTTAAATCCACATCCATTTAATGTTTACACCCAGAAATGACCAAACTTACCAAACTGGAAAAAAAAAAAAATGAATAGGCCTACACAACAAAATTAGTAGCAAATAGCCCATCTTGTTAGCAAAGGCTATTTAAACTATCTCCACCCACCATTGACTGGTTGAAGCAGGTAAAAAAAAAAAAAAAAACATTTCAGGTTAACTGTAACCCTAGTTCCCTGAGAAGGGAACGAGACGCTGCGACAACGGCACTTTGGAATTCGTTCATCTTCGGAACACAAATTAAGATATTGTTGATGAAATCTGAGAGCTGGATCACTCCTGCATACTAGTCCATATAGGCTTCTTGAGGAATTGAAACTTGCCATCCTCAAAAAGTTAATTAAATCACATTAATCAACAGTTTATTTCCTATTTTAAAATAAACTAATATGTAGATTGTGTAAGATGTTTAAATGTTGTGTTTTTATTATTTCCGTGTAGCCTACATAGTACAAAAAAAATCTGTAAAATCATACTGTAGCCACTAGATGTCTCTATAAAAAAATATATATATTTCAGGGATGTGAAATTTTTAATAAGTAAAAGTTTTTTTTTATTTTTTTATATAATATCTGTCCTTTAAGTAATCCAAAAATAATCGGTTACATTACTTTCATATTCTGGTACTTGGATTATGTTGGAGTATGTTTTTTATGAAGTCATTTGTAACTGTATCAGAATACATTTTAAAGTAACCCTCCCAAGCCTGGATGCGTGTGGCGTACAATAACAGAAGCTTACGTTATTAAACTAGTAACCTGACTCGAGGCAGAGAGAGAAGTAAATGAATCGTTGAAATAAAGTCGTTATTTTTGTTGTTTTTTGTGCACAAAAAGTTTTCTCGTTGTTTGATAAACTTAAGATTAAGCCACTGAAGTCACTTGGACTATTTTAACAAAGTCTTTAATAACTTTTCGAGACCAGTATGTTTCAATCCCTAAAGAAGCCTACGGACTAGTGTGCAGGAGTGATCCAGCTCTCAGATTTAATAAAAAAATATCTTAATTTGTGTTCCGAAGATGAACGAAGGTCTTACGGGGTTGGAACAACATGAGGGTGAGTAACTGACAGAATTTTCATTTTTGGGTGAACTATCCCTTTAAGTCCAAAGAATGTGTGCATAGCCTTTCAAAGTATTATCATATACAGCCATCCTTTCCTGAACCTTACAGTACACCTTTACTGATTAGCAGGTTTAGAGGAGATTAGAGGAGAGCCATATAGGGACAGAAACAAGTATGGTCCTAAGGCAACATTTATTTATGATTTTAATCAATATAAGCATATAAACTGTTATTAGGCTGTTTTACGGTGTACTACAATACACTGACGTGCAAAATATTTGTTAGTATTTGTCACTATTTGCACTATAAGTATAAATAGCATCTAACACTTTTTACACTTAGTGCAAATAGCATCTAACTATTACTTACAATGCTGTTTGCATTTAGTGTAACCTTCTATCTCTGCCAATCATTTATGTAAATGCTTTGTAACCGAGTTAAAGTGGCCGTCATCAGCTGTAGTCAGCAGAGGGCGCTCTAATGCTGTGCACATGTTATTCAGAAAGATATGTGCTCAGAATAGCATATTTCCATGCTACTCTACTATTTCTATTGTATGCAATACTTTATATTGTGCACAGTATGACATTGGATGAATGTAGCTGCCTCAATACCTGGATGATGTACAACAATGTACGATATTACTACAATTGCCAAACTGTAGACCTATACCATAGAGATTAGGACCAATTCTTGATTTCTGTGTGTGTGTGTGTTTGTTTGTTTGCCTACTTAGCTATATTTTTTGGGGACAAATTTGTACCCAGAAGAGACCAAAATCTCCAAAAAGCTTCCTTTAGGGACGTCCTCATTTGTAAATATGGTATAAAAATAATTAAAGTTTTTATAAAAATGCATAAAGTTTTGTATAATGGGTATGTTTAGGGGTAGGGTTAGAGAGAGAGTGTGTGTGTCAGACATTTTAACGTCAACTTCTTGACTCATTATTTGATTGGACTGGCAAAAATGTCCACACAATGACAATTTTTCTACCATGATAGAGAAATCCAAATGTACTACTACATTAATCAAATATGTCTTTTAGTACTATACTGGTATTTTATCCCAGTTTATGTTTATCTTTTATTGATCCAATCTAAGGATACAGTAAAGGTCAAGTTGTTCTGTCATGGTTGGGTGGGTCTTCACAGTCTGTGTTTTGCTGTAACTCATGGGCCCCTAAAGAGCCTCCAGTCCATCGTGGTCCCGCTTCCTGTCTGAACATGACCAAGCCAGAACGTTCTTCTCAAGCACAGAAGAGCCACTTCACCCCTTCACAAAGGTTCAACTTGACCCTGAGAAGAGGACGCAACCCAATTGTCTCAGCAGACAAAAGCAGCTTCTGTCGGACATGTCTATGGAGACTGTAAGATCATATGTGCTGACAGGGCCACAGAAGGGGACTTTTAACATCTGTCTCTGTGTCTTTTTCAGAATGACCAGTCCACTGAAGATCTGCACATTATTGGACCAGATGACCTCTCCATGCTGAAAGGAAAGGTATTGCACATGTTTGCTTATTAGTCAAAATTTGTGAACATGGGCTTTATTAGCATAGTAGGACTATTTAGGTTTAGCAAGTTTAGTAAGAAATTACATACAGAGTCTAGGGCTGGTATTCATATGTCAGAGGTTTTCAACAACAAACCTCATAGTTATATCCAGAGTTCTGAGACCTTATACGACTCAGACATTTCTGAACTACCAAGACTTGTTTAAAGATTATTGAAAAGGATTATTGTTGCAAAAAATATGAAGCAGTTTTCTGAAGGATCATGTGACACTGAAGACTGGAGTAATGGCTTCTAAAATTCAAGAAATGGAGTCAAGATATAGATCCTTTTGTAATATTTTTTTTAATTGTATTTTTAGGTATTATTTGACATGAGACTTGACAGGATCTATTCAGTGATAGATCCTGAGGTAATCACAGATCCTGTGGTAATCATAATTTGACCACAAAAATGAGAGCAGAACACATCCTGTGCAGAACATTTCTAGCACAATCATGACAACATAAAACTAGTCAAACTCTTAAAAAACTCAAAAACATTTTTTTACAAGCATCAAGTGCCTTTCTTGGCCTCATCAGTCCTCCACATGATCCATTATTGAGACATTCTGGTGCACAAAACTACAAATTGATTCCCAACTCTATCATGCATTGCAAACTGTATCCTTAAAGGGGTAGTTCACTTGAAAAAAAAAAAAAAAAACTTTTGCTGATAGTTTACTCACCCCCATGCCATCCAAGATGTCCATGTCTTTCTTTCTTTAGTTGAAAAAATATTAAGGTTTTTGATGAAAGCATTCCAGGATTTTCTCCATATAATGGACTTCATTGGGAACCAAACGGTTCAAGGTCCAAATGAGAGTTTCAGTGCAAACTGTTCAAAGGGCTTTAAATGACACCAGATGATGAAAAATGGTCCTATCTAGGACCCTTCGAGTCATGACTCGAAAAAAGATTTGTTCATTTTGATGGAACAGGAGAGTCACGAACGCTCATCACAGAACAGAGCAAGGCAAGCATTTGTTCTTATGAAACTTAAACTTTTTTATTTATTTTTAAAATGACCGATCGTTTCGCTAGATAAGACCCTTATTCATCGTCTGGTGTCGTTTAAAGCCCTTTGAAGCTGCACTGAAACTCTCATTTGGAGCTTGAACCATTTGGTTCCCAGTGAAGTCCATTATGTGGAGAAAAATCCTGGAATGTTTTCATCAAAAACCTTAATTTCTTTTCGACTGAAGAAAGAAAGACATGGACATCTTGGATGACATGGGGGTGAGTAAATTATCAGCAGAAGTTTTTTTTTTTTTTTTTTTTTTTAAGTGAACTACTCCTTTAATGAATGGTGCAATACTATTCAGCCTTCCAAAGCAGGACTGAGGCTGTTCTCAAGGCAAATGGGTCACTTCTTATGACAAATCCACAAGAATTGTATTCACTCCCTTCTAGGCATTGTACACTATCCAGAGTTGCTTTATTATTACAGATGTGTCCGAGATAGAGATTTCAGGCATAGTGAGCAAATGACTGTTATTGATTATATTCATAACCAGTAATCTGTCATCTGTCATTATCTTGTCTAGAATGCATTTACACTATCAATTACAAGTTTGGGTTCAGTAAGATTCCTATATTAAATGAATGCTGTTATTTTAAAGGGTCTGTTCATCAAATAATCCTGAAACAAATTTGCATGGTTTCCGCAAAAATATCAAGCAGCACAAATGTTTTCAACATTGAGAATAAGAAATGTTTCTTGAGCAGCAAATCAGCATATCAGAATGATTTCTGAAGGATCATGTGACAATATGCTGAAAATTCAGCTTTGAATCCCAGGAATAAATTACATTTTAAAATATATTCAAATAGAAAACAGATGTTTGAATTTGGAATATTATTTCACAATATTGCATTATTTGTTCAAATAAAGGCAGGCTTTGTGAAGAGGCGTTCGGTTCATCTAAGAAATTACACAATCCATGAAGTTCTTATGATTGGAAAAAAGATAACTTAAAAATTAATAAATGGCCCAAAATAGGACTAAATTAAACGGTCAATGTTGCATGCCATAGTTGCTATGTGATCTTTACTCATGAAAACACAAGTATAATATAATAAAAGAATAGAATGCCATTGCCATATTGTGTGGCTTTGCTTGGGATCAGATCTACTTAAAATATTCTACCAAACAATCACAGTGTGTATTTTCTATAGTGATAACATCCAGATCCTCTCTTGTTGTTTCTGATGTTTTTGGATGTTGTTTTAAATCTTTTGGATTTTCTAAATTCTCTCTCTCTTTTTCCTCTCATATGCCACACAGAATGTCTTGATTGTGGAGGTAAGATTGTGCTTTTCACTGTGGGTTTAGCAAATTATGCAGACACACATAAACATATAACTGAAATAAAACGCAAGAGAGAAGCAAACAAAGTTTGTTATGGACATTTGTGCAGGGTAGTCTGGGATTTGTCCGGAAAACAATGTAGTAGAAAGGTATTTTCCTTTCAGATCAGATTTCACACCACACGTTTTCCAAGGAAATCACCCATGTTGATCACTCCATGTGCTGCTGCATTGAATAACAGTGCTGTTGATCATTATTTCCATAACTTTGGGGATGTTTTTTTATGTTACTTAACTCTCATTAAAAGTCTTGTGCTTGACACAATTTTAGGCATCATAGCTGTTCTCTAGGGGTGAAGGCTGTGCTAAACAGCAAGCAGCAAAACTCTGCTCCCAAATTCTAAAGCAGCATGCAATGCAGTCCTAGATGGAGGACAATGTAAAGCTAAATACTTAAAAAAGAATTTTATTTAATGAAAATTAAAGTATTATACACTCTCAGAAAATACACTCACAAAAAAGGTACAAAAGCTGTCACTGGGGCGGTACCTTTTCAAGCTTTTGTACCTAAAGAGTGCATATTGGTACCATAATGACCATGAAGGTACCAATATGCACCCTTTAGGTACAAAAGTGTACCTTTTGAAAAGGTACCACCCCAGTGACAGCTTTTGTACCTTTTTTTCTGAGAGTGTATAGTTTAACTTTTTTAGTCTTTTTTTTTTAATCATACATGTGCTACACAATACCCTTCAAAAAGCTTTTTAAAGAAATAAATACTAGGATGCATTCAATCGAACAATGGTGATAGTAAAGATTAAGATTATTAATCAGATTTCAACATTGATAATAAACAGAAATCTTTCTTGAGCAGCAAATCAACATATTAGAATGATTTCCGAAGGATCATGTGACACTGAAGACTGGATTAATGGTGCTGAAAATTCAGCTTTGCATCACAGAAATAAATTACATTTTAAAATACATTAAAATAGAAGACAGTACATATTTCATAATATTTCTGTTTTCCTGTATTTTTCATCTAATAAATGTAGCCTTGGTGAGCATAAGAAGTGTATTTCAAAAACATTTCACCAAACGATTTGTGTATTGCATTGTTAGCTTAGTTACATACTAAAATCAAACTCTTTTGAAATCAATTGCAAGCTTTTCTTGTGTGCTGTAAATGAAGAATGATATTTTTTGCTTGACAAAAAGCTCTATGTAGAGTATTTCAGATCAAAGTCAAACACTTATGAGCAAATCCACATGGAATCTGCACCTGCGAATCTCCACAGGAAGACAAAATACGAATGAGACAGCAAGGCATGTAGCACTATATCTCCATTACAGTGTAATCTTATATGTATTCATTTCCCTACAGGCAATAGTGGACACAGGAAAGACAATGACAGCCCTTCTACAGCACGTGGAGACTTTCCAGCCCAAAATGGTTAAAGTTGCAGGGTGAGAAGGGGAACTACATTAAGGCAATAGCTATGTTTCTATCTAAAGTTGTGAATTTAGCATATGCACAAAATTGGAATATTGAAAACATTTGGGAATAAAGTGCCCTTGAGCCCTTTGACTTTTAACAGACCCCCTAAAGTGTGCGCTGAGTTTAGTGGGAGGTAATTGAGAAGGAATGGGGGAAAGTCATGTGAGAGGAGGCAATGCTTCCATCATGCGATGATTGGATATGATCAGTTATGATTGGTTTGTGTGAAAAACCCCGCCTTTTGATTCTGGAATTGGCCTGAATACAGACAAGGATGGCGTTAAAGCAGCACTATGTAAGTTTTTCAACCTTTATAATATTTTTCCCAAATCCTTGAGATGGTACATCGACTTACAATAGGTTGAATGACAGGTCTGCCATAGCCTGACAGTGTCTGTATCGCTTTTACTGGCACACTGTAACTTCGGTGAGCGGGTAGGAACCTGAGCACAAAAAGAACTACAAAATTCATCTGATTTACGGCATCGCTTCCCCCACTTCCTCAAATTCCGACGCAAGAGCCCAACGAGCGTTTTTTTTTTTTTACCTCTGTATGTTGTCATGGCTGAGGCAGCAAGTAAAACCAAGAAGCCAAAGGTTTTGTCGGAGGACAGTAGAAAGAGAAAAGGGGAGAGTGGCAAAATAAAAGGCTGTATGAGGATCAAATGAATATTGGTCCAGAGTTAGCTCGCTGGCGCCACTCATCCATAGGGTACGCCCAAATGAGTGAACAGGTGATTTTTTTTATACTAATAAAATTTAAAAAACATTAATTCGCAATACTACTCCACAAAAACGTAACTTTTTCAAATTGGTTGCTTGATATTATAATATTGACGATATGGCTATAATCTACCACATAAACATTGAATTGAATTAGCATATCCATTATGTAAAACTATAGCCAATAGGCTAACGTTACTATAAAGATGCTGGCTTGTAAATGTGAGCTACGCGAACTTTTGGCGTTTAAAAAAAAAATAAAGCCCATGAAACTATATTCATAAGACATGCTGAAATATATGCCAATGTACCTGGGATGAAGACATCTCACACATAACACTGGAGTCTGCCCAAGATGTGAGAAGTTTCGGGGGTATCGTTTGTCAACAAATCGTTTGTCAAAAACAAATTGTCAACGCGTGTATTCCCTGGTGTAACCATGACAGATTTTACGACATAGTAGAAAACAATACTGTTTCCCAACTGTAGGGGGACCCCGAGAGCAAAAATTCAAAAGTAACATAATGCAGCTTTAATGGAAGACTCATTAAAAAGTAAGTAAATAAATCAGCCACTTAAATATCACCGCTTTATGTCACGCCAAAATCAAACTTGAAATGAGCTGAAAACATGATGGCTGTGTGAGGATTTTAGTGAGCATTCAGCTTTGGGAAATTCACCTTTGGCTAAGCCCGCCCCCTTTAGTTACTGTTGCTACATCCGTCAAACTTCATCTGCGCTCTGCATGGCTTATGCTGTAACAGCTCATCCTGCTGAAATGATATCAAACATTTTCAAGACATACAGGTGAAACGCAAGAAACAACAAGGCATCCAAAATAGAGGCAAAAGCATAACGTTCCCGGTCACAGTCAAAAAATTAACCACGGCACTTCCTACTAATCGAGACGAAGGCTGGGACTAACAATATCAAGGAGCAAAACTGTTCATGCAAAGCTGGGTAGGTCTCTATTCACTTCTATAATCGTTATAACAAAGCAAACGGACTACACAAGTATAACTTTGTATTTATTAGCAGCATGTGCTAACGTATCAACAACCGGTATGAGAACCGAAATCATAAACTAAAACATTAGAAAATGGTCTAACTAGTATAACTTCACACTCACAGTAAGGTTAGAAGTAAAAAAAAAGATGTGCTTGTTGATCTTTGCGGGGTTTAGCTGACTGAGGACGTCCACACAGCTTAATCCAAAGACGACACTTGTTAGGATTTTACTTCGGTTTTGGGAAGGGAAAAAACGGACACCCCCCTCCAACCTCTCTGGGAAACGCGTATCTGTATTACAAATGCCCGAGGCACAACGTTTAACCATATTTTGGATAAAACTACAACGGTAATAGCCTGCCGAGACCAAAAATATGAGACGCCTGTGTTGAAAGTCAATGGAGCGCTGTGAAAACGTGTCGGACCTCTGTGGGAGTTCGCTGTGATTGGTCAATCTACATTCTAGGGCGTGGCTTAGCCAAAGGTGAATTAAAGGTACATCTTTGTGTCTGTATCTGTGACCAGTGTGTACACGTGTGTAAAAATACATAAATGTGCCTCATTTTAAAACACCATGATGGAAACTTAGAGGATGCGTGGCCTGAGATCAAATCAAGCTGAAGAAGCAGACCTGACATTTTAATAGTTTTTATCTAATGGAGTTTAAGGGTGTTAATGTGTTCCTGTGTCTCTTCCCTCAGGTTGCTGGTTAAGAGGGTTCCTCACGGGGCGGCAGAGCTCCCTGACTGTGAGTGCTCAAGGATGCTCAAACATACTTCTGCCCTGCGGAAATGGGCCTTAATTAATCACAATATGATTATCTGAACACGGCTGTAATTCGTGAACACTGATTACTTGTTTTTCTCTGCAGATGTTGGATTTGTCATTCCCAATCTATTTGTGGTGGGTTACGCTCTGGACTACAATGAGTACTTCAGGGACCTCAATGTAAGATTACGACCATTTTTGTTAAATTCCATGACCTTTTGAAGATAAATCGAACTGACTTTGACTTTGAAACCAAAGTACTAAAATGTATGAATATTAGGCGCCTTATGGTGGTGCAAACTATTTTTTTTATACAATCAACTTATCTTTAGAGCAACAGGAAAATTCTGTCATTAATTTCATGTCATCTCCTACGGTTCCAATCCTGTAAGACTTTCATCCATCTTTGAATGAAAGGATATAAAGTGAACAAGTATCTTGACTAAACCGCTCAATTCATAAAGATTACTTTTATGATCTCTTTATGAAGTTTTTGAAGCATCAAAGTGGTAGTTGTTTTGGTGTGTCTATACGCAGCAAATTTGAGCTTCCACAAGAACCAATGAGGTTCATTCTCGTGTTACAGAGCACGTTTGAGCTTCCACAAGAACCAATGAGGATCATTCTCGTGTTACGGAGCACGTTTGAGCTTCCACAAGAACCAATGAGGATCATTCTCGTGTTACGCAGGAAATTTGAGCTTCCACAAGAACCAATGAGGTTCATTCTCGTGTTACAGAGCACATTTGAGCTTCCACAAGAACCAATGAGGATCATTCTCGTGTTACGGAGCACGTTTGAGCTTCCACAAGAACCAATGAGGATCATTCTCGTGTTACGGAGCCCGTTTGAGCTTCCACAAGAACCAATAAGGATCATTCTCGTGTTACGCAGCAAATTTGAGCTTCCACAAGAACCAATGAGGATCATTCTCGTGTTACGCAGCAAATTTGAGCTTCCACAAGAACCAATGAGGTTCATTCTCGTGTTACAGAGCACGTTTGAGCTTCCACAAGAACCAATAAGGATCATTCTCGTGTTACGCAGCAAATTTGAGCTTCCACAAGAACCAATGAGGTTCATTCTCGTGTTACGCAGCAAATTTGAGCTTCCACAAGAACCAATGAGGTTCATTCTCGTGTTACGGAGCACGTTTGAGCTTCCACAAGAACCAATGAGGATCATTCTCGTGTTACGGAGCCCGTTTGAGCTTCCACAAGAACCAATAAGGATCATTCTCGTGTTACGCAGCAAATTTGAGCTTCCACAAGAACCAATGAGGATCATTCTCGTGTTACGGAGCCCGTTTGAGCTTCCACAAGAACCAATAAGGATCATTCTCGTGTTACGCAGCAAATTTGAGCTTCCACAAGAACCAATGAGGATCATTCTCGTGTTACGCAGCAAATTTGAGCTTCCAAAAGAACCAATAAGGATCATTCTCGTGTTACGCAGCAAATTTGAGCTTCCACAAGAACCAATGAGGATCATTCTCGTGTTACGCAGCAAATTTGAGCTTCCAAAAGAACCAATAAGGATCATTCTCGTGTTACGCAGCAAATTTGAGCTTCCACAAGAACCAATGAGGATCATTCTCGTGTTACGCAGCAAATTTGAGCTTCCACAAGAACCAATGAGGTTCATTCTTGTGTTACGGAACCCGTTTGAGCTTCCACAAGAACCAATGAGGTTCATTCTCGTGTTACAGAGCACGTTTGAGCTTCCACAAGAACCAATGAGGATCATTCTCGTGTTACGGAGCACGTTTGAGCTTCCACAAGAACCAATGAGGATCGTTCTCGTGTTACGGAGCCCGTTTGAGCTTCCACAAGAACCAATAAGGATCATTCTCGTGTTACGCAGCAAATTTGAGCTTCCACAAGAACCAATGAGGTTCATTCTCGTGTTACAGAGCACGTTTGAGCTTCCACAAGAACCAATGAGGTTCATTCTCGTGTTACGGAGCACGTTTGAGCTTCCACAAGAACCAATGAGGATCATTCTCGTGTTACGGAGCCCGTTTGAGCTTCCACAAGAACCAATAAGGAGCATTCTCGTGTTACGCAGCAAATTTGAGCTTCCACAAGAACCAATGAGGTTCATTCTCATGTTACAGAGCACATTTGAGCTTCCACAAGAACCAATGAGGATCATTCTCGTGTTACGGAGCACGTTTGAGCTTCCACAAGAACCAATGAGGATCATTCTCGTGTTACGGAGCCCGTTTGAGCTTCCACAAGAACCAATAAGGATCATTCTCGTGTTACGCAGCAAATTTGAGCTTCCACAAGAACCAATGAGGTTCATTCTCGTGTTACGCAGCAAATTTGAGCTTCCAAAAGAACCAATAAGGATCATTCTCGTGTTACGCAGCAAATTTGAGCTTCCACAAGAACCAATGAGGATCATTCTCGTGTTACGCAGCAAATTTGAGCTTCCACAAGAACCAATGAGGTTCATTCTTGTGTTACGGAACCCGTTTGAGCTTCCACAAGAACCAATGAGGTTCATTCTCGTGTTACAGAGCACGTTTGAGCTTCCACAAGAACCAATGAGGTTCATTCTCGTGTTACGGAGCACGTTTGAGCTTCCACAAGAACCAATGAGGATCATTCTCGTGTTACGGAGCCCGTTTGAGCTTCCACAAGAACCAATAAGGAGCATTCTCGTGTTACGCAGCAAATTTGAGCTTCCACAAGAACCAATGAGGTTCATTCTCATGTTACAGAGCACATTTGAGCTTCCACAAGAACCAATGAGGATCATTCTCGTGTTACGGAGCACGTTTGAGCTTCCACAAGAACCAATGAGGATCATTCTCGTGTTACGGAGCCCGTTTGAGCTTCCACAAGAACCAATAAGGATCATTCTCGTGTTACGCAGCAAATTTGAGCTTCCACAAGAACCAATGAGGATCATTCTCGTGTTACGGAGCCCGTTTGAGCTTCCACAAGAACCAATAAGGATCATTCTCGTGTTACGCAGCAAATTTGAGCTTCCACAAGAACCAATGAGGATCATTCTCGTGTTACGCAGCAAATTTGAGCTTCCACAAGAACCAATGAGGTTCATTCTCGTGTTACGGAGCACGTTTGAGCTTCGACAAGAACCAATAAGGATCATTCTCGTGTTACGCAGCAAATTTGAGCTTCCACAAGAACCAATGAGGTTCATTCTCGTGTTACGGAGCATGTTTGAGCTTCCACAAGAACCAATAAGGATCATTCTCGTGTTACGCAGCAAATTTGAGCTTCCACAAGAACCAATGAGGTTCATTCTCGTGTTACGGAGCACGTTTGAGCTTCCACAAGAACCAATGAGGATCATTCTCGTGTTACGGAGCCCGTTTGAGCTTCCACAAGAACCAATAAGGATCATTCTCGTGTTACGCAGCAAATTTGAGCTTCCACAAGAACCAATGAGGATCATTCTCGTGTTACGGAGCCCGTTTGAGCTTCCACAAGAACCAATAAGGATCATTCTCGTGTTACGCAGCAAATTTGAGCTTCCACAAGAACCAATGAGGATCATTCTCGTGTTACGCAGCAAATTTGAGCTTCCACAAGAACCAATAAGGATCATTCTCGTGTTACGCAGCAAATTTGAGCTTCCACAAGAACCAATGAGGATCATTCTCGTGTTACGGAGCCCGTTTGAGCTTCCACAAGAACCAATAAGAATCATTCTCGTGTTACGCTGCAAATTTGAGCTTCCACAAGAACCAATGAGGATCATTCTCGTGTTACGCAGCAAATTTGAGCTTCCACAAGAACCAATGAGGTTCATTCTCGTGTTACGGAACCCGTTTGAGCTTCCACAAGAACCAATAAGGATCATTCTCGTGTTACGCAGCAAATTTGAGCTTCCACAAGAACCAATGAGGTTCATTCTCGTGTTACGGAGCACGTTTGAGCTTCCACAAGAACCAATAAGGATCATTCTCGTGTTACGCAGCAAATTTGAGCTTCCACAAGAACCAATGAGGTTCATTCTCGTGTTACGGAGCACGTTTGAGATTCCACAAGAATCAATGAGGATCATTCTCGTGTTACGGAGCCCGTTTGAGCTTCCACAAGAACCAATAAGGATCATTCTCGTGTTACGCAGCAAATTTGAGCTTCCACAAGAACCAATGAGGTTCATTCTTGTGTTACAGAGCACATTTGAGCTTCCACAAGAACCAATGAGGTTCATTCTCGTGTTACGGAGCCCGTTTGAGCTTCCACAAGAACCAATAAGGATCATTCTCGTGTTACGCAGCAAATTTGAGCTTCCACAAGAACCAATGAGGATCATTCTCGTGTTACGCAACAAATTTGAGCTTCCACAAGAACCAATGAGGTTCATTCTTGTGTTACAGAGCCCGTTTGAGCTTCCACAAGAACCAATAAGGATCATTCTCGTGTTACGCAGCAAATTTGAGCTTCCACAAGAACCAATGAGGTTCATTCTCGTGTTACGGAGCACGTTTGAGCTTCCACAGGAACCAATGAGGATCATTCTTGTGTTACGGGGTATGTTTGAGCTTCCACAAGAACCAATGAGGTTCATTCTCAAGTTATGGAGCATGTTTGAGCTTCCACAAGAACCAATAAGGATGATTCTCATGTTACGCAGCAACTTTGAGCTTCCACAAGAACCAATGTGGTTAATTTTCGTGTTACGGAGCAAATTTGAGCTTCTACAAGAACCAATGAGGTTCATTCTCAAGTTATGGAGCATGTTTGAGCTTCCACAAGAACCAATAAGGATGATTCTCATGTTACGCAGCAACTTTGAGCTTCCACAAGAACCAATGTGGTTAATTTTCGTGTTACGGAGCAAATTTGAGCTCCCACAAGAACCAATGAGGTTCATTCTCATGTTACGCAGCAACTTTGAGCTTCCACAAGAACCAATGAGGTTCATTCTCGTGTTACGGGGCATGTTTGAGCTTCCACAAGAACCAATGAGGATCATTCTCGTGTTACCGAGCCCGTTTGAGCTTCCACAAGAACCAATAAGGATCATTCTCGTGTTACGCAGCAAATTTGAGCTTCCACAAGAACCAATGAGGTTCATTCTCGTGTTACAGAGCACGTTTGAGCTTCCACAAGAACCAATGAGGTTCATTCTCGTGTTACGGAGCACGTTTGAGCTTCCACAAGAACCAATGAGGATCATTCTCGTGTTACGGAGCCCGTTTGAGCTTCCACAAGAACCAATAAGGATCATTCTCGTGTTACGCAGCAAATTTGAGCTTCCACAAGAACCAATGAGGTTCATTCTCGTGTTACAGAGCACATTTGAGCTTCCACAAGAACCAATGAGGATCATTCTCGTGTTACGGAGCACGTTTGAGCTTCCACAAGAACCAATAAGGATCATTCTCGTGTTACGCAGCAAATTTGAGCTTCCACAAGAACCAATGAGGTTCATTCTCGTGTTACAGAGCACGTTTGAGCTTCCACAAGAACCAATAAGGATCATTCTCGTGTTACGGAGCACGTTTAAGCTTCCACAAGAACCAATGAGGATCATTCTCGTGTTACGGAGCCCGTTTGAGCTTCCACAAGAACCAATAAGGATCATTCTCGTGTTACGCAGCAAATTTGAGCTTCCACAAGAACCAATGAGGATCATTCTCGTGTTACGCAGCAAATTTGAGCTTCCACAAGAACCAATGAGGTTCATTCTCGTGTTACGGAGCACGTTTGAGCTTCGACAAGAACCAATAAGGATCATTCTCGTGTTACGCAGCAAATTTGAGCTTCCACAAGAACCAATGAGGTTCATTCTCGTGTTACGGAGCATGTTTGAGCTTCCACAAGAACCAATAAGGATCATTCTCGTGTTACGCAGCAAATTTGAGCTTCCACAAGAACCAATGAGGTTCATTCTCGTGTTACGGAGCACGTTTGAGCTTCCACAAGAACCAATGAGGATCATTCTCGTGTTACGGAGCCCGTTTGAGCTTCCACAAGAACCAATAAGGATCATTCTCGTGTTACGCAGCAAATTTGAGCTTCCACAAGAACCAATGAGGATCATTCTCGTGTTACGGAGCCCGTTTGAGCTTCCACAAGAACCAATAAGGATCATTCTCGTGTTACAGAGCACGTTTGAGCTTCCACAAGAACCAATGAGGTTCATTCTCGTGTTACGCAGCAAATTTGAGCTTCCACAAGAACCAATGAGGTTCATTCTCGTGTTACGGAGCAAATTTGAGCTTCCACAAGAACCAATAAGGATCATTCTCGTGTTACGCAGCACGTTTGAGCTTCCACAAGAACCAATAAGGATCATTCTCGTGTTACGCAGCAAATTTGAGCTTCCACAAGAACCAATGAGGTTCATTCTCGTGTTACGGAGCACGTTTGAGCTTCCACAAGAACCAATAAGGATCATTCTCGTGTTACGCAGCAAATTTGAGCTTCCACAAGAACCAATGAGATTCATTCTTGTGTTACAGAGCACATTTGAGCTTCCACAAGAACCAATGAGGTTCATTCTCGTGTTACGGAGCCCGTTTGAGCTTCCACAAGAACCAATAAGGATCATTCTCGTGTTACGCAGCAAATTTGAGCTTCCACAAGAACCAATGAGGTTCATTCTTGTGTTACAGAGCCCGTTTGAGCTTCCACAAGAACCAATAAGGATCATTCTCGTGTTACGCAGCAAATTTGAGCTTCCACAAGAACCAATGAGGTTCATTCTCGTGTTACGGAGCACGTTTGAGCTTCCACAAGAACCAATGAGGATCATTCTCGTGTTACGGAGCCCGTTTGAGCTTCCACAAGAACCAATAAGGATCATTCTCGTGTTACGCAGCAAATTTGAGCTTCCACAAGAACCAATGAGGTTCATTCTTGTGTTACAGAGCACATTTGAGCTTCCACAAGAACCAATGAGGTTTATTCTCGTGTTACGGAGCCCGTTTGAGCTTCCACAAGAACCAATAAGGATCATTCTCGTGTTACGCAGCAAATTTGAGCTTCCACAAGAACCAGTGAGGTTCATTCTTGTGTTACAGAGCCCGTTTGAGCTTCCACAAGAACCAATAAGGATCATTCTCGTGTTACGCAGCAAATTTGAGCTTCCACAAGAACCAATGAGGTTCATTCTCGTGTTACGCAGCAAATTTGAGCTTCCACAAGAACCAAAGAGGATCATTCTCTTGTTACAGAGCACGTTTGAGCTTCCACAGGAACCAATGAGGATCATTCTTGTGTTACGGGGTATGTTTGAGCTTCCACAAGAACCAATGAGGTTCATTCTCATGTTACGGAGCAAATTTGAGCTTCTACAAGAACCAATGAGGTTCATTCTCAAGTTATGGAGCATGTTTGAGCTTCCACAAGAACCAATAAGGATGATTCTCATGTTACGCAGCAACTTTGAGCTTCCACAAGAACCAATGTGGTTAATTTTCGTGTTACGGAGCAAATTTGAGCTCCCACAAGAACCAATGAGGTTCATTCTCATGTTACGCAGCAACTTTGAGCTTCCACAAGAACCAATGAGGTTCATTCTCGTGTTACGGGGCATGTTTGAGCTTCCACAAGAACCAATGAGGATCATTCTCGTGTTACGGAGCATGTTTGAGCTTCCACAAGAACCAATGAGGATCATTCTCTTGTTACAGGGCATGTTTGAGCTTCCACAAGAACCAGTGAGGATCATTCTCGTGTTACGCAGCACATTTGAGCTTCCACAAGAGGCTTGTTCTCGCGTGTCAAGCAGGTTCGATTGAGCTTCTGTTCATGTTTGCTGATCATAAGTGAACAAAAGCAATTAAATCTGTTCTAAATTAAAATCGATCATAAAATGGAAAAATGTGTTCTGCTTGAACAGCCTCTTGATGTTGTAAAAGGGATGTGGTTCACCCAAAAATAAAAATTCTTTCATTCATTTGAGTAAATAAAAGCCAAAAATAAATCTATTCATCATATAAAGTGAACAAGTCTCTTCAGAAAATGTTGCCTAAACCGCTCAATTCATATAGATTACTTTTATGATCTCTTTATGAACGTTTTGAAGCATCAAAGTGGTAGTTGTGTTGGTCTCTATAGAGGGATTGAAAGTTCTCAGATTTAATAAAAAATATCATCATTTGTGTTCTGAAAATGAACAAAAGTCTTACTGGTTTGGAACGACATGAGGGTGAGTAATTAATGACAGGATTTTCGGTTCTGAGTGAGCTAACTCTTTAAAGCTGCATAAAAAGGCCTCCCCAGCTTAAAGCTCATCATGCAGCATTACATAAGAGATGAATCTCTGAACCTGCAGCATGAATGTCATCACTGAGTGTTGAACAGGACTTGGTGAACATCCAAATGAAATCTGGCATGCAGCACAGCATTCATCTTTCCTAGAAAACTCTAATCAGCCTCACGCATCATGTGTTCAAGCCCCTTCTGAAGCTATAAATGTGATGGAAAACATCTATCTGTCACACTGCAGAAAGAAGTTTACACATTATTACTATTTTCTGTTTTTTTTGTGTTTTTTTTGACTCACGTAAGCAATGTCTTCCCCTTCACAGCACATCTGCGTCATCAGTGAGACAGGGAAACAGAAATATAAAGTGTGACAAAACTCCCTTCAAGAGGAATGGACATTTATATTACCATAACGGATGAAAAACTCATTGTGACACAAGATTACTGTGTTCTCAAATCAGAGATCTGATATCTGTCACTGACATGCTGAATTATGTTTGAAATATTATATAATGTGTTTTGCATTAATTGAGTAAAGTCACATCACAATACTAACGTGATATGATGTGTAAAACAGACTTACTCTGTTCCATTTTGTATGCTGTATCAGTTTAAGAGCCCAGCTGCCCATTTTGTTCTCTTTAGAAGACATTTGTTTGTGAGACCATCTATGCCACTGAGGACATTCTATGTTTTCGGGTTGTAGGGAGGCAGGAGCTTTATCCAATCACAAAATTGGACAGTAGGTTATAGCTATATAAAATGAATAGCAATTTAAATTTTGCTTTGTGAAAATTCAAATGTTACAGATGATACTACTGAAATAAAATGCCTTGAAAATGCATTGATTGTCTTGACTTTTTGTCTTGCCTCTAGAAGTGTTACGGAAGCAGACGGACAACAAGGTAAGTTGTAGAGATTAATTCTTTTATTAAACAGCAGAGATCAGAAATGGATAATACTTGAAGGCAGTCCGTGAATGATAAATGGATGGTTCCTTAGAAGAAACGGCAGTGAGGGATTTCCAGAAGAGATGCACTCCGTTGGTAGAAATAGTTTGGCGTGCACCACTTGACTGGAATGAATGGCTTACGGCTCAAACACCACAGATGAGACGATCAGGACAGACTTGAATTGGTTCAGAGATCACTTGACTTGACTGTATGGCTTACGGCTCAAACACCACAGATGAGATGATCAGGACAGACTTGAATCGGCTCCGAAATCTGGTAAGGAAACAGGATAAGTTGATCAGTGAAACTCGTGAAAGAAGCACTATGAGTCCGCTTCGTATGAACGAGCGTCTGTAGAAGTTGGCGAATCCAAGACATCTCTGGAGTTCCTTAATTGTTGTGGGTTCTGCCCAGGTAGTTACGGCAGTAACCTTTTTCTCATCCATACGAACCCCCTGACGGTCAATGAGGTAATCCAAGAACTGTACAGAAGGAAGATGAAAGGAACACTTCTCTGGCTTCAGGAAAAGGTGATGAGCTCTGAGAGTGTGGAGGACCTCTGCAACATGGTGACGATGTTCGGCCTCACTCCGGGAATAGATGAGAATGTCATCAATATAGACAACCACGAACCGATCCAGAAACTCCCGGAGGACCTCATGTATGAAGTTCTGGAACACGGAAGGAGCGTTGACCAGACCATAGGGCATCACAAGATATTCATAGTGACCTGTAGGTGTCACGAACACGGTCTTCCATTCATCCCCTTCTCGTATTCTCACCAGGTTGTAAGCACTGCAGAGGTCCAACTTTGTAAAGATGGTAGCAGAGCGAAGTTGTTCGAGGGCAGCAGGAACAAGAGGAAGGGGATATTTGAACTTGACAGTACCCTGGTTTAGTGTCCGATAATCAATGCATGGCCGCAGCCCTCCATCCTTCTTGGCTAAGGAAAAGGAGCTGGATGCTGCGGGAGATGTAGAATGCCGAATATACCCTTGACTGAGAGCTTCCTGTATATACTCCTCCATGGCCTTGGTCTCTGGCAGTGACAACAGGTAGATCTTACCTCTGGGCAAAGGAGTATTTGGAATCAGGTCAATGGCGCAGTCCCATGGCCGATGAGGTGGTAGCTGGGAAGCTCTCTTGGGGCAGAAGACGTCTTGGAAAGAAGAGTAGATATCAGAGATATTTATGGATTGTTTATTGAGTGGACTTGAGTGGAAGCACTATGACCCCGTTTACACCTGGTATTAAAATGCGATCTGTATCCAGATAAGTTATCCGGATAATAAAAAAACGCATGTTAATGCAAGGTGTAAACGCGTTGTGATCGGATCGTGATCGGATCTGCCTGACCACATCTGGAGGTAGTCTGGCTCTCATTGTGTCCGGATCTTTACTAGGTGTAAACGCAATCTGGTTGTTGAAACCACATATGTATATTTTACTCCCAAAAATGCTAAAAAATAAACGAGTGAGAGCGTGTTATATAGGCTATATGTCATGTTATAGCCTAGTCAGATGCGACACGCATCACCGCAGATGAGCAGCTGAGCGTCTATTCAACGTGCAAACATCGCAAATAAAAGTGAAAGTAAGTCACAGACGCAGTTAACACATCTTCAAGTAAAGAAACGAAATTATCTTACCAGGCCTGTTGCCACTCTCTCTTATTGATGTCTCTGATTTGGAAATTAGCTGATGATCAATAAAATGCCGCTCAGATCTGTTGCTTTTGGTGGCGTGCAATCCAATAAATCTGCATATAACGCAGGAGGTGAAGATCGGATTTATATCCGTTTTGCAAAAACACATTTATGTGGCCAGGTGTAAATGGAATCAGTACTTTTTATCCGGATAACTTATCTGGATACAGATCGCATTTTAATACCAGGTGTAAACGGGGTCTATGAGTCCCCTTCGTATGAACGAGCCCGGACAATGAGAGGTGCGTGATGTGTGCTTATGTAGCAGAGTGATGATGAGGTGCAGGTGTCTGTAGTTAATACTCTGGTGATTGTGATCGCTGGGTGATAGTGGTGGCCAATCCGTGACAAGAAGAGTCCTGATGTTTACTATATAGGACATATTTCTTGTGTGTGAGACATTACAGAGATATGTGCTGTGTCTGAAATCGCATATACGGTCAGAGTTAGTACTACATCTGAATTTTAATTTACTTTGCAACCATTGAAAAAGTACATTCTATGTAGTATGAATATGGGTAGTATGAATGAATTGTGGACGACATGTTACTCTCATGTGACATGTTACTCTCATCTGACATGTTACTCTCATGTGACCTACCAGAGTCAGTTGCGTCGCTTCACGTCCATTCATCGAATGGACTCTTTAGAATCTCGGTGGAAGTAGTAGGTCGTCCGAGTACTTTACCTACTGTTTTTATATATTCGGACATGATACACTTTTGGCATACTGTTTTTCGCACACTATATAGCAGGGAAGTATTCGATTTCAGACAAAGCGAAGAATGTTGCTAGCATGTTTTGGCACATTGCTAGCATGTTTATAACATGATTTAACACTTTGTCAGCATTTTTTAGAACGTTACTAACATGTTTCTTACATGAATTAGCACAATGCTATGGTGAATGTTGCTAGCATGTTTTGGCACATTGCTAGCATGTTTATAACATGATTTAACACTTTGTCAACATTTTTTAGAACGTTACTAACATGTTTCTAACATGAATTAGCACGATGCTATGTTTGAATGTTGCTAGCATGTTTATAACATGTTTTAACACTTTTGTCAGCATTTTTAGAACGTTACTAACATGTTTCTAACATGAATTAGCACAATGCTATGTTTGAATGCTGCTAGCATGTTTTTCCACATTGCTAGCATGTTTACAACATGATTTAACACTTTGTCAGCATTTTTTAGAATGTTACTAACATGTTTCTAACACGAATAAGCCCATGTTTGAATGCTGCTAGCATGTTTTGCCACATTGCTAGCATGTTTATAACATGATTTAACACTTTGTCAGCATTTTTAGAACGTTACTAACATGTTTCTAACATGGATTAGCACAATGCTATGTTTGAATGCTGCTAGCATGTTTTTCCACATTGCTAGCATGTTTACAACATGATTTAACACTTTGTCAGCATTTTTTAGAATGTTACTAACATGTTTCTAACACGAATAAGCCCATGTTTGAATGCTGCTAGCATGTTTTGCCACATTGCTAGCATGTTTATAACATGATTTAACACTTTGTCAGCATTTTTAGAACGTTACTAACATGTTTCTAACATGGATTAGCACAATGCTATGTTTGAATGCTGCTAGCATGTTTTTCCACATTGCTAGCATGTTTACAACATGATTTAACACTTTGTCAGCATTTTTTAGAATGTTACTAACATGTTTCTAACACGAATTAGCCCAATGCTATGTTTGAATGCTGTTAGCATGTTTTGCCACATTGCTAGCATGTTTACAACATGATTTAACACTTTGTCAGCATTTTTAAAACGTTACTAACATGTTTCTAACATAAATTAGCCTAATGCTATGTTTGAATGTTGCTAACATGTTTTGCCACATTGCTAGCATGTTTATAACATGATTTAACACTTTGTCAGCATTTTTTAGAACGTTACTAACATGTTTCTAACATGAATTAGCACAATGCTATGTTTTCTACAGAAGACATGGATGGATGGATGGGTGGATGGGTGGATGGATAGAAAAGAAAAGAAAAGAGGAAAGAACGTTTTTATTGGCTTCCAGAAGGGAAAATTAACATGTATTTGAACACTATGAAGAGGCAAAATGAAGAACATCTGAACAGCCCTGAATCAAAATGATTTATTACAAATTTATATTGAATGTTGGATCATGTTAGTTTTCCCAGCGTCTGGCCTGGGGTTTGACCTCTTTGCAGTCTATGTCAGTCTACAACCAGATAAAACCAACATGAGGGTTTGATTTTCTTTACAACCTGCTGTGGTTATCTCACATCTCAGACAAGCAATGAATGCACTGAAAATTTACTGCTAATACAGAACTCAAAGCTGATGTTCTCTGAGAATCCCCAAAAAAGAAAAAAAATCTGCTCATCTGTTTTGGATCTGCCGTATTACAGGCAATCTGCTTGAAAAGTCTGGCTCATTAATTCATGTAATATGTAGCAAAAAAAAAAAAAAAAAAGACTGGTTACACATTACACTAAATCTGAAACTATTTGCACTAGTATCCACTATAAAAAAAGTAACTTTTGTGTGATTTCTGAGTCTGGTTATGATATTGTCCTACATGGTTGGTTTAAAGTGTCGATTGAGAGCTGTTTGTGCCTCACACCAAGCTTTCCATGACTCAGTCTGGGCGCCAGCCGGGTACAAATGCCAACAGCCGCCATCTGCCATCAGTTACTGCACCTCATGACTGGAGAATGCAACGCTGTACTGGAGACACAAAACACTTTATTTCATTAAATCAGTCAGTGGTTCATAACAAAGCATGAAGATAGTGCATTGTTATTTGTCTTACAAAAGTTTGTGATACTTATTTGTGATTGAAGATCCCATTAAATGGTCTGATGAAAGCAATGTATGTTGTTTACTTCCAAATGTAAGTTCACGTCAATGAAAGACACTATTAAATACAACTAGAGTCGGTATTTGCACAACAGACTAACAAAAGTCAACTCAGCAGAGAGTGCACAATAATCATGGGTCAGGCTGAAGGGAAAGGAGTGACCGGCCAATAGGCACAGACAGACAGATGGATGGATGGATGGGTGAATGGATGGGACGGACGGACAGACAGATAGATAGATTCTATTTTTTCTGAAAATAGCATTGATTTACATTTTTGAGGCTTAGTCACGCTTGGATTGGGATTAAACACGATTCCTGA